CCTGGCTCCCCATTCTTGTCTTACAGACCCTGAGAGGGCGATTTGAGTTCAGAATCCCTAGAGTTTTTGCCCGTGGGACTCACTTTTAACAAAAATTGTCCTCTTCATCCACAAGCACTTTTCTCCTCAGGTTTGCATTTTGATTCAAAAGCTCTAGACAGACAAGGGATTGAAAAGACTAAATATGTGAGCGTTTTAATTTTCCTCTTGGGGGGGGGACAACAAAGTTATGATTTTCTTCCAAGCAAACAAACTGTTTTCCATGTGTTTCCAAGAGAAAACTGCTTTTTTGTTACGTTCTGCATGTTCCATGGATGATTCCAGTGGGGAGATCCTAGGAAGCAGCACCTTTTCTTGTGTGGCCGGGGAAAATGTGTTTTTGGAATCATGGAAGAGTCTCTGGGCTCTAGTAATGGGGCTTGGGAGCCCACCCCAGCTCCGTGCCTGAAAGGGCGCCAGAGAACATGGGAGGAGCTGGGTTTGCCTTACACAAGCTCTGAGGGTGGCAGGGCTGGGGGTGGGGGAGGCAGTGAGGCCTGGCCTCCTGGTCTGAGAAGGTCTGGCTCTTACTCCCACCCCTGCTCTCAGAATAGAGCCCCTGCCCCTCACCAGGGGATGGGAGTGGGGTCTGTGCACTCTGCAGGAGGTGGTCCAGAAACAACTTCTAGATCCTGGCTCCTGGGGCCCGTAGCCCCTGCTCTCAAGCCTTGGAGCGGAAGCTGCCTTGGAGAAGCCTGCCCCCTTCTCTGCTCCAGCACGTGGAAGTGTTCCCGGCTCAGGAATGACCTGGACCCTCCTTCCGGCTGTGAGGTTGCTCCTGGGGGTGTGAACCCTGCGCTGGGCCCCTGTCCACACCCCAGCACGGCTTTGCTCCCAGGGAGGCCCCCTTTCTGCAAGGCTGGGGTGGGCACCCACCTCCTGTGTACTTAGCTCGTTAGGATTCTTCACCCACTTATTGTGAATAGGTTCTGGGAGAGGAAAGGGCCTGGAAGGCACCGCGGGGAGTGAGGCCTCTTCCTGTCTCAGTGGGACTTCCTCTTTCTGCCTCTCTCCCCTCCTCCTTCCCCTGGGGAAGTCGTGAACCCTAACTATTTTCTGTTTTGTTTCTGGACCTATTTTCAACTATGCTGAGAATTTGAATTTCCAGGAGGGATAATCCAGGAGGGTAATCAAAGAGACCCAGAGAAGGCTCATTTGGGAAGCGACCTCCTTCTGTAACCTATGGAGGATCTATCCTGGTGGCATCGTGATTTTAGAATATGCCTACTTCCTCCTCTCCTGGAGTGGGGGTTGGCCTTAATGGCTGGCTTCCAGAGAACAGGCTGTTGCAGAAATGATGATGTTTTAATTTTGAGGTTGGGTCGTAAAAATCAAATATACTGTTGCTTCTGTGGCTCTTGCATCTTGCTCTGGGGGAAGCCAGCCACCCTGCTGTATGATGATTCTAGCGACCCACAGGGTCAGGAGCAGAGGCTTCCTGCCGGCAGACAGATGAGCAACTGTCCTGGGAACGGCTCCATTGGCCCATCAAGTCCCCAGATGACCGCAGCCCCAGCAAAACCTTGGCCACTGTCTCCTGAAACAGCCCGACACAGCCACGGGCCCAGCTCCTCCCAGACTCCTGGCCCTCAAGAATATGCAGGTGATAAATGTTTGCTTTAAACCACTAAGTCCTGAGGGTGATTTATTAGATAGCAGCAGATAATTAATATAATTTGTCTGCGTGCTTGAATTTATGTAGGAAAAGAAGGAGAAAGCAGGGACCCCCTGTAAGAAAAGAGGAAAGGCTCCCTCGTTCCAGAGAGGAGGGGAGAGCCCGTCTGCAACCAGAACAGTCATGTTCTGAACTGGAGGTCGGTGTCCCAAAATGCCTGAGTTTAATTCAATCCCAGATGAGTGACATTGGGAGGTGGAGCCTGGGGTGGGGAGGGGTTCGGGTTGTGCTAAGGTCCTAAGGGTGGAGTCCTCATGAATGAAATACTGTCCCTTCTCTCTCTCTCTCTCTCTCTCTCTCTCTCTCTCTCTCTCTCTCTCTCTCTTCACTTTTTGGTGCTGGCATGTTAAGCAGGTGATCTACTAGTGAGCTGGAGGATTAGGGTCCTTATAAGAGGATCCCCTACCCATACTCCTGGGCTCTCTTGTGAAGACACAAGGAGAAGCGGGCAGTCAGCAGCCTGGAAGAGAGTCCCCACCAGAACCAACCATGCTGGCACCCCAGTCGTGGACTCGCAGCCTTCTAGCAGGTAAGAAATAAGGTTCCATCATTTATAAGCCACCCAGTCTATGTGAGAGCAGCACCTACTTGGAGAGCAGTTACTTGTTTTGTCTCCTGGGAAACCGGACCAATCTTGGGTCCCACATGTCCAGCCTCCTCTTAACTCTCCTGTGGCTGTAAATGACTGTGAACCTAAGTTGGCATGTCATAGACCAGTCCTGTTTCTGCCTATGTGCTTAACGCTGCTCTATAGCGTCTGGCAGAGATTAACTCACTGAATCTTCATAATCGCCCTGTGAGATACTATTATTGTCCCTGCTTTATGGATGAGGAAACCGAGACACTGAGCAATTAGGTAACTTGCCAAGCAGGTTTTTCATGTTAGGAAAATGGCCGTGACACAAATGAAAGCTTATTATATAACATCATTTTAACAGCTGCTTTTAACATTGTTTCCTTTAATACATAACACAAACTTGCAAAGAATAGAGCAAAGTGTCCTCTTTTAAAGATAACAGAAGAAAGGCTCAGGGAGGTTAAGTGACTTGCCCACAGTAACACAGGAAGCAGCAGGCATGGTTCTAACTCTAGCCCTGCTGCTCCCAAAGCCTTCTCTCCACAGGGCTCAGCCCCGTTCTCTGTTCCCACCAGCCTCTCCCTGCTCTCAGCTTCAGATGTGTGTTTGGTAAATCCAGAAAAATCTCCCAGGTGCTGGCCAGCTGCCTAAATGAGGAACAAGGTGACAGCCCCGAATTCACACGACCCCAGGTACTTCTTGGCAGCTGTTAACCTGCGTGAGTCTGTGTCACTGTGCTCTCCTGGTAGCGCTGGGTAAGAGAGTGAGTGACATGTGAGGAGCAGGCAGGAGACACAGGATGCAGGAGCCGCAGCTGGATGGCTTAGCGGCAGGAGTTCAGTAAATCCAGAGGCACCAGCCAAACCTCTGGGTTTGGCTCTGCTTCTTGGGATGCACGAGGAATTCAGAGATGGGCGAAAGATCTCTCCGATAGTCACAAGAGAAAGGGGCCCTTGTAGATAAGTCATGAAAACTCCAGGACAATTTGTGAAATGAAAAAAAAATATTATATTGTGTCCCATGTCCTGCCAGTCCCTTCTGTGCGGGTGGAGAATCCTAATTGTTAACTGTCTCCTTTCCAAGTAAACCATGACTTAAATGAGCAGCCCACATGGCCGCCTAGTGAGCTATGAACACTTGATTCTCCCTGCATTTCTCTGAGAAAGTGGCATGAGACTGTCTTTTGGTACTTGAGATGGTGGAGCTTTGCCATAATTCAAAGGAGCCGGGAGAGCTGTGCTGTGCGGTTAAACCCCGGGGCGGGGTGGGGGGCCGTGCTGAGGGATCACCTGGAGAGCAGGTTAGGTTAGAAACACAGAGCAGTTTCACACCCAGCAATTCCGATTCATTGAGTGCTCCCCATGGAGCTGCACTGGTAAGCCATCTGTGGCACACTTACAGAAACTCTGGGTTAACAGTTTCTCCAGGCAAAGTCAAGAAAGCATCCCACATCCATCACCCCTGAAAATTATTACCATGGTGACCATAAGGAGCGGGTAGCGGTTGAAGTGTGTAGGACAGGGCCTCGAGGTGCTGGTTCTGGGGGTGTAGAGTCTGTGGAAACACACCATGTTGTGCACTAGGTGTGCCCCATGGATCTGCATTGGTAAGCCATCTGATACGTTTTCTCTTTGTATATGATATTGCAATAAAAGTTTACCAAAACCAGTTCTTGGGAGATAGATAAATATAAATATAAAGGTTGATCTCAAAGGGGCATGAAGGAGTTTTAGGGCAGGATGGGACTGTCCTATATGTTGATCTTGGTAGTAGTTGCATAACTGTAAATGTTTGTCAAACAACTAACAAGATTAGCAACTTCTTGAGTAACATAACCAACTGACATGTTGGGAGAAGAAAAAACTAACTAAATCACTTCAGAAAATCAAATCCTAGTTACATATTGTAAAGCTACAGGTAAAAGAACTATGGAACTATTATACGCTAGTGAAGTTAAGTTGTTTTTCATAAAGGGCATGGGTGAGCAATTCTGAAATTATTTTTATGTGTATACTAGGTTCATGCAAATAAATAAATCTATTGAAGATAATGAAGCCAGCTTTTTCAATATCAAAGAAAGAAGATAAAAGATGATGGTAACGGAAGAATCAAAGGAGCCATGCAGTAAATTGGATTAGAGAATAAAGTATGAATTCATGACTTTTATTTTATTTATTTTTTCATGACTTTTATTTTATTTATTTTTCATGGTTTTTAATATAAATTCATCCAGAAGGCATAGGAGTAGAAATAAATGTATGTGTGTGTGTGTGTGTGTGTGTTGCACGTCTTCTCACACACTTCACATACTTCCTAGTTTTCCCTCTTTTTTAAAAAAAATTTTTGTTGCTGAGGACTGAACCCAGTGCCTCACACATGCTAGGTGAGAGCTCTACCTCTGAGCCACAACGCCAGACCCCTAGTTTTCCTGCTCGAGAAGCTTAGAAACAATGATACCCAGTAACAATGAGCACCCTTAGTCCAAGATATTGGTTTCTATTACCTATCATCCTATGATAAAAACTGAGGATCCCTGGGAAAATGATTGACACCGAGTCCTGGAAAGGGGAAATACAAGATGAACCTGGAAAATCTTGGGAGATCAGAAAGTAAGAAAGTATCCGGAAAATGATAGCTGACGTTAATAGGGACCAACCTGTCAGAGCAGCCAATGGTTAAATCTGGGGCAAGTTGAGCAACAAAATAAATATGAAAGAAGTAGGTTATAAACCATAGAATAAAATAAATACCCAAGGGTCTATATTGATATAATTGAATAAATAAGTGAGAATGAAAGGATAGTGCTTCATCAGAGCAGAATTCCAACGAACACACTTGGGAATACAGTTATGGAAAATACCCACTAGACAACAATGGAGTAATAGTCACTGCAGGCAACAGTCAACAAGAGATGGTAAAGTTAGTGTGTGAAACTGTAATGAGAACTAGGATATTTGTATAGTCTCAGAGAATCTCCCTACAGGGCCCTTAATAGTTGCAAAGGTAAAAATAGTAACTTTGCTATAGAGAATTCTAGTACACACCACTTAATCAAAATATTGAAGTAATAATTTCAATATTATGTATATTCAGATATGATGAACTGAGAAGAGCAAAAATGTCACATCAGTGGTTTTCTTGTCAAAAACAAAAACCAAAAACAACCTCAATCTATTCATGGAAAAAAACCCCAGCAGTATCAAGTCCTGACAAGGATGTGGAACAACTAGAATTCTCATACATTGCTGGTGAGAATGTCAAGTGGCATGGTCATTTGAAAAATGTTTTGGAAATTGTATATATAGTTAAACATGCACTTATCACTGACCTAGCAATTCCATACCTAGGTGTGTACCTGACATCCATGAATGCTTCTGTCTACACAAAAAACTGTGTACCCACTTCTATGGCAGCTTAATTCATATTTTCCCTAAGCTGGAAATAATTCAAAAGCCCATCAACTGGTGAATGAATAAACAAATTGTGGTACGTCCATACAGTAGCAGACATCTTAGCAATTTAAAAAAACTACTGATAGAACATATGTTAAGTGAAATAAGTCAGACTCAAAGAAATCTATATTCTATGATTCTTTTCTTAAAAAAAAAGAGAGAGAGAATTTTAATATTTATTTTTTAGTTTTTTTCGGCGGACACAACATCTTTGTTTTTGTATGTAGTGCTGAGGATCGAACTCGGGCAGCACACATGCCAGGCGAGTGCGCTACCGCTTGAGCCACATCTCCAGCCCAATATATTCTATGATTCTTTATGACAATTCTGGACAAAAAACAAAAAAAACCAAAAAACCTAGATGAATTAATAATAGGTAGTTGCCAAGGGGTAAGGCCAGGGAAGAGGTTGATCTTAAAGGGGCATGAAGGAGTTTTAGGGCAGGATGGGACTGTATTATATGTTTATCTTGGTAGTAGTTGCATAACTGTAAATGTTTGTCAAAAATTCAGAACTGCGTACTAAAAAGGGTGAATGGTAGTGTATTGAAGTTGTAAATTTTACAACAAACACCTGACTTTAAAAAAAAAAAAGACTCTAAGCCAGAACCTTGTGTTTCTAGTTACTAATGATGGAAGAGTGTTGATAATCTTGAGAAAACATCAGATAAACCCAAAATAAGGAGCATTCTACAAAATCACTATTCAAAAGTGTCAAAGTTATAAAAGACAAAGACTGAAGAACTGTCCCCAGTTAGAAGAGACTAAGGATACAAGACAATTTAAAGCAATGTGGGAATCTTAGATTGGATCCTGAACTGAAAAAAAGATATTAGTGGAAAATAACAAAATACGATTAAGTTCTGTGGATTAGTTAACAATATTGTGACAACATTAATTTTTTGGTTTCAATAATTGTATTGTGGTTATGTAATATGTTGCTATTAGAGGAAGCTGAGTGAAGGGTGTACAGAAATTCTCTGTATTATATTTGTAAGTTTAAAACTCTTTCAAATTTTCTATTTGTCAAGATCCTTTGATGATGTAAAAAGGCAATCATAGAGGGGGAGACAGTATTTTCAGTACATATAACCAGCAAAAAAACTCATTCCTGTAAAATATAAAGAAATTTTACCAATTAATAAGATATTCATATGTGTTTGTGTGTATGTTAAATGGCATGTGCACATATGATATATATATGTCAAATGGTATGTGCACATATGATATATATATGTCAAATGGTATGTGCACATATGATATATATATGTGTGTGTTTGTGTGTATGTGTGTGTGTATGTGTGTGTGTGTTCAAGGTACTTTGCAGAAGAGTATATCTAAATGCCAATAAGCAAAAGACATATGCAATTTCATTAATCATCAGGAATATACAAAATAAAATCACCATGAGACGCTGCCACACACTTAACAGAAGTGGTGTAATTAAAAGAGAATAATACCAAGTGCTGTCAAGGATGTGGATTAATAGAGGACTTTCATATGCCTTTGGTGAAGTGTAAATTGGGACCATCTGCTGACAGTGATAAGCAGAGTTAACCCCCCAGCAATTCTGCTTCTTGGTCCATATAACTGGGGGGGGAAACGCAGACATATATTCAACAAAAGACACAGACAGAAACGTGGTACCAGTGCCATGTGTAATCATTCCAGATGTGTATGAACCAAATGGTGACTGCTAAATTGTGACGATTTTATGAGATGAATAGTATGCCACAGTAACAGTAAAGAAGCCACCACCACACAGGACAACCCTATTGAATCAGACACACACAATAACCTGCAAAGAGGAACAGGGCACCCAATGGCTTCGAAGCCAGAACAGAGCTTATCTTTAGGAAAAGGCAGGAAGTGACAGGGAGGGGGCATGAAGGACAATAATTACACAAACGTGTTCAGTTTCTGGAAATGCATTGAGCTGTGTATGTGAATCTGTACATATGATATTCTTACAAGAGAATTTACTTTTTTAAATCTTCTGGAAGGTGGAGAATAGAAAAATAGAGGTATTTATATTAAAAATATTAAAAGTTCCTTTGTGTCCAACATTCCTCTATATGGGGGAAGAAAAATGCCTAGGGTAGCCTTTTAAACACAGATATGCTGCACAATCCAAGACTTATATATGCTGAAATAGTAGGAGCAGCATAACTAATACCAAAAGCAAGCAGACAGAAAATTAGAGAAGAAACTAACCATACAGTCTGGATATCTAAAAGCAAACAACAACAACAAAAAAAAAATAGCTTCCAGTGAATCCAATTGGAGAAGTGAAAAATACATGCTTTACAGGATAATCAAACCCCCACGCCCGTGGTGATTTCGGGAATCTGCCTTCTCAGGGTGGAATTCACGGGTTACTTTAAGGAGCAAGGATAAGGAACGAAAAAGCTACACTGCATAATGAAAAGGACATCAGAATGAATAGAAGATAATTCCCTTGGACATGAAATGCAATCAAGTCAAGACCTATATTTTATCTCTGCTGGAGGCGGTCTTATTTGTTAGTAAAGTACTGGGATAATCAACCATTGTTCTCCCTGCCAAGACTGTCAAAACAAATACAAGCTTCTTTGCTCAGTGCTAAAAATGTCTAGGCCTTTGGAGAACAGCTGGGCAGAAAGCAATCTTGTTCAATTTCAGCACATTTTCCCCCAAGTATTAGGCTGTCCGAACGCAGCCCACATCAAAGCATCCCAGGCACCCACTGCAGGGACAGACCTGTCACGAGAACACATCTTATCAAACTCAAGCAAGCAGAACGCACAATGAAACCACTTTAAACTTGTCCAACTCCCTGTTGAGAGGGGTGAGGACTTTGAAGCATAAAAAAGCTGCTCTAAACAGATCATTCCTTAGAGGTGCTTCTTATGAATATTTTAAAAAAAATAATGTTGTTGTGCTTGCAAAATGCTATATATTGATAAGCCTCCGGGGGCTTTAGAAGTGATTTGTGATCTCTTGGTTACCCATATCAATGGTGCCAAAGGGACATCTTCTCTTAAGCATTTGCAGGATTATTCTCCTGTTATTAAGTCGACTCTCATTAAAGCATGTCTTACTTGTGCCTTCATGACTTGTATTAATTAGGAGGTGTGTCAGTTATGATGTCTGGGGATGCAAGTAGCTAAAAGTTAATAATCAGCTCAACCGCCTTGAACAATAAGAACATTTCTTTCAATCAACTAGCAAGAATCCTGGAGGTAAAGCAGCCTGAGGTGGGTTAGCCCCCTAAGTCGCTCAAATGATGCTGTCGGGGACTTAAGGTCTGTGATCTTTCTGCTCTTGATCCTCATGCTAAGGCTCCTCGTGGTCATAAGACTGGCATCGTACCCATGCACAAGTGTCTAGAAGGAAGGAAAGTGATCCTGTGGGTTTCTTTTCATCTGGGAGAAAAACATTTTGCCCAAGGATTCTCAACAAATTCCCCATCATATTTTATTGGCCAGGATTGTCACACACCTGTCTAAACCAATCACTAGAAAGGCAAATGGGGTCACAATGCAGCCATCAGACTCCATGATTTCGAAACACAGGGTTGGGATCCCCTGCTATGACAGGAAGGAGCAAGATACCCAAGTAAATGTGGAGTCCTGACAACTGGGAAGGGGAACAGGTGTCTGGGTGGGCAATCCTCTCTGTATCGGCTACAATGAGGATGCAGGGGAAAATAAGTTTGGGTTAATTGAAATTTTGGCTTAACTGTGGGATATGTGAAATTTCTTTTAGATTGTTCCCGTGGCTATTGAAAACGACTCCCAAATGTATTAACTCACTTTCTTTCCTTCTGTGTAAAGTGGAATGATCCCTCTGGTGTGTCTGTCTAAGGCTGCCTCCTTTCCCCCATCCTTCAAAATCTCTTCTTTTATCTGCATCTGCAGGACCCCAGGAGAAAGCCTCCTGCAGCCATCTTTGTACAACGGGATCCTGTCCCCCTGGCCGAAGCTGATTGGAGGTGAGGTGGGTGGTGTACCTAAAGGGTTCTCATCTCTTCTGAAGAGTTTGGAAAGGGAGCAACAGGCTCTTCAAGTGATTGGGCCTGTAACACCACCTCTAGAATTGTGGGACAGTTGTTTTCTGTCATTTAAGAAGTGAAGAAAAAGCTGGTGTTTGGGAAAGTAAAAAATGAAATAGATACACAGAAAGAAGTAGACACGAGTTTTGGCTCCATAAGACACATTGATATATCCCCTCACACCCCACACACACACACACACACACACACACACAGCAGCTTGAGGTAGTTTATATAACCAGCAACAAGAGTCCCAACCGATACATGAGAACACAGTGTCCCTTTTCAGTCACGACTGAGGATCTTGTGGAATGTTAGGGTCTCCGTGAAGAACCTGTAGTTCTCATTATTCAGAACACTGTGTGGAAAACCGAAAAGTCAGACCTGTCATAAGTTTATTCCAGAACCTGCTCTGAGAATTGCCTTTGTTCACTTTCAGCCTTCACCATTGGTTCAGTTTCGATGCTTCAACTCTTTCCCCTAAGAAGCACTCAGCAAAGCATGCACAGGGCCCACAAATGACTGTGGTCTGTGTGTGTATGAGTGTTGTGTTGCATCTGGGAAGGGAAGGTGATGGGACCCACATACATTGAGTTCCAACTGTTTCCCTTTCCTGGATGGTTTACTTTAATCCCCACCACATACTGGTACTCATGATAAAAACCATTTTATCGTTGAAGAAGCTGCATCTCAGAAAAGCACATTGATTTTGTTAAGGTCACATGGCTGAATCCCAGGTTCAGTTCTCCCAGGTTCAGTTCTCCCAGGTCCGTGGAGAAACAAATTTGATGCTATTTTCACTCTTCCCTGTTATTACACAGGGGGAAAAAATGCCTTGACTGGATGTCCTGTTACGTAGATTCTGGTTCACTGACATCCAACTCTCCTAGCATTGTATCATACTGGAGATTCTCGACCTTGAGGGAAAGAATCAGGGGCAGAGAGATCTCCCAGCTCCAGACATACTAGGAACATTTCTGCATATTCTAAATAAAACATTGCTATATCCAGTAGGAACTAGGATAGCAATTTTTAGCACCTTATTTATAAAGGTGGGAAAAACAAAAGCCAAAGAAAGTAAATGAGGAACACAAGATCTTCAGACAGACCCAGGAGCCCAGTGTGTTCTTCTGGCTCTGCCTGTCTCGGTAGGAGAACATTCTGGAGCAGTTGATTTTGCTTGACTAATTAAAGGTGATTGGAGTTTTGGAGTTGGCATGGCTTTTGCCTCCCCTCAACCCCCATCTTTCACATCCTTGGACACCATACTGTCTGTGGGTTGTCAGTTAGCAAGTAAGTCTAGAGAAGAACTGGTGTTGGCTGAAGTCAGCCCGGACAGAATGAGATCAGGGAGATCCAGGCAAAACCTTGGACCTCAATGTGGTTTGAACCTAGTAAAAAAATCATGCAAGTGCTTAAATCAGACTCTGCAAATGCCTCAAAATGGACACAGCTGTGCAGCGTAAAGCTCCCGTCTGGAATAAGCAAATCGGAACCAGATTTTTCTGATGCTCTCAACTCTTCTTTATCTATTGAATGTTTTTGTTTTATTTAGATTTTTTTAAAGCCCTCACCTTGATTTGTTGATCACAAAGGAATGTTGCCTGCTTATTTTAATGCATTCCAACATTAGCAAGGTAAAATGCAGAAAGGGAACATTTGGAGTTGAGTCTGAAATACCGTCAGTAGCCCTTCCTGTAAAACTTGCCAATGTCAAGGCTATGTTAAAGAATGTAAGCTACAGGAAAACTCCAATTAGTCAAAATGTCCAGGGAATGGGAGATTCCAGGTTATTTCAGAGAAAACCTTTTTCACATCAACTCTTGACGTTGGAAATCTTACCGAAAAGTATGAGTTGGGTTTCCTGTCTTTAGGAAGCACAGTTTATTCCAAAAGTAATTTAATGTTCGTCTGACAGTTGAGGGTCAGGCTGTATCACGGGTTAAGCATTCTGGACCCCAATTCCCATTGTCCAGAAAAAAAAAACCAAAACTAAACAGGAGATTGGGGAGACTTTGAACGCCACCCTCGGACATGTTTTTGATGTCCCTGAAATGAGCCTTTTCCTTTTGTATTTTGCTCCTTTCTCCTTGTATAGAGGGGGGAGAAAAACATCTGCGAGACTTGGTGCCTTGCCTGCATAAATTCCAGCTAAATCAAGATTTTCCCATACTTACAGTTTTGTATAAATGCTTTGGCCCTCAGCAGTTGGAAGCCATCCTTCCTACGGCCTGTGCAGGAGAACTGGGAGAAGTGAGCACCTCCCTCAGCCACCTGCTACCGTCCCCACCACCACTGGAGAGCAGATCAGCAGAATTTGGTCATTTCTTCCCAGATCAGTTGTCACTGTCTGCGCCCGGCTCCTCAGCATCCATGACGTTTCTTTGTTGTAGGAAGCTCTGCTGTGCACTGTGGACCCACAGCATCTCAGCCCCCACTGTTTGGAGGCCAGCAGCACTCGCTCACCTCCTTAACCATGACCACCCAAAATGTCTCCCGATACTGCCAGATGTCTTCCAAGGGACAGAGTTGCCCCCAGTTGAGAATTACTGGTCTAGACACGGGTTCAGTTATTTCTCTTTTATTTTCCCTCCCCCTGTCATCAAGATTATATGTTTTCTTGACCTTGGCAAATAATTTCATAACATATTTCCTGCTCTATTTCATGGAAGAACAAAAATAATTCTCTGATGAAAGTCATATTTTGACTTGAATTGCATGAGGCAGGCCTTGTTATAATACAACCACAGGTTCCGCGTTGTTTTTGGAAGGCAGTAAATTTGTTTTCTGCTTCGATCCTGATTTTGATTTTTAAGTACTGAATTTTCATACTCTACTCAGTTCCCCTGGAGGTCATTGTCATTATGGACATCAAATCGATGTCTCAGGCACAGTCTCTCATGTCGTACCGTCTCTCTCAATTTCATTTTTGCATCTGTCTCGAAATTATTTTTGCTGCTGCGGCTAATGTTTGATGTTTTTTCACTCACTGTTCTTTAAAGCCCATTTATCCCCTTTTTCCAGTGAGTTCAGTTTAAATCTTATGTCTTGTACAATATTTTGTGTATTTACAAAAATCTGTTAAATGTTTTAAATTCAGGTAGTAAGTTATAGATGCCTGTTTGCAAGCCAATGGTAATATTCCTGCCATAGAACGGGGTAATAGTTGAAATTGTTTTGGAGAAGCAGATTTTGTGATTAGGAAAAGTTACCCATATATGTTGATTGTCCAATGTCAAACAATTTAATTCTGCTACAGTTTGGATTTGGAATGTTCCCCAAAGGCCCGTAGATTGAAGGCTTGGTTGTCAGTGTGGTACTCTTGGAAGGTGGTGGGAATTTTAAGAAGTGGGGTCACTGGGATTGTGCTCTTGAAGGGAATTGCGGGGCCCCAGTTCCCGTTTCTCCCTCTCTTCTACTTCCCAGTCACCAAGAGGGGAGTGATGTTCTGCCCTCTGTATTCTCTCCATGATTTCTGCCTCCCCACAGGCCCCAAACAATGGGACCAACTGACCAAGGGTTGAGACCTCCAAAACTAGGACCCAAAATAAACTCTCTATCTTTATAAACTGATTAAATCAGGTATTTGTTACAGTAACTCAGAACTGATGGACACAAATTAATAATTCATATGACATCTATTTTGGACCAAATAAGCGTATGCACCCTGAGATTTTTCCAGATTCATCAGAGGTTTTGCATGTATTATTTTTACTCAGATTGTTAAAAAATGGAACACAAAACTGTAGATGATTTCTGACTACATAAAAATATTTCCAGGTTGAGGCTAGAACCTAGTAGTAGTGCATATGTGAGACCCTGGATTCAATTCTCAATGCTGGAAAAAAAAATACCATTTACATAGATAAAGGCTAGTATATAAAAGTTAGCATTGAACAGTTGTATTGATTATAGCAAATGCTTTCTTCTCTTCAAAGTTTTCTATGGATTAGAGTTTACATAAATTTTAGATAGCACATATTTTTTTATTACCTGAAGAAGCTTTCTTGTTCACTTAAAATACAAAACTGATGACAAATCACTTGTGATAACACCACCCAGTGATGGTCACTGTCAACAGTCTTTTTTTTCCTTTTACAAAACAGATCATCCTAAATAAATTATTCTTTATCCTGCTTTTTAAATCATAGTGAGTATGAATATAAATATACAGTTATCTATGGGTATCTGAGAGGGATTGTCACAAGTAAAATATCATAGTATTTACCTGTAACCTACACACACCCTCCCTACACTTTAAATTGTCTCTAGATGACTTACAATACCCAATACCTTTCTCGAATATTATTTCATTGTGTTGTTCAAGGAATAATGATAAGAAAAAGCAGTCTATATATATTCAACACAGATGTAACCATCATAGGTCAACTACCTCTCTGATCTGAATTGGTTGAATTCATGAATATGGAACCCATAGATAGGGAGGGACAACTATTAACTTGTGTATTTCTGTCTGATATTATAGGACTTTTGGAGATTTCCAGTTTCTTCCATTATATATATTATGTTGCAAAGAAGATCTCCATACAAAATCTTTCCACACGAGGTTAAGCAACTCTTGCAGCTAAAACGTGAGAAGACAAATCCTAGGTCAAAGGGTAATTTCCAAGGCTCTATGCATATTGCTAAATTATCTCTGGAAAGTTGTTCCCATTTTCCGTCTTTCCTTATTGGCAATTGTCTTGAAGGGCCTCCATCTTGTTCTGTCAGCCTTCAGGCCTGTGAAGACATTTCCTATGAGAATTCTTCAGATATGTCAATGTAATAAGATCCATTGCAAGATATCTGTCAACAGCATCACTGGGCCCATCTCACACCATCTGTCAGTGGCAACTCTAATATATTTTGGGAAGATGCTCATACAGTTGCCAAAAAAAAAAAAAAAGTTTGCAATTGAATCAGTTTTTCCAATCAGTTAAGATGCAGAACTGAACTGCATTAAGGACATATGACAATCTTATTACAATATCCAGAGACTCCATGTAGGAATGTGTCCTTGTGAATTTAAGGGCAGGCTGCAAGATGGGGTAGGTAGATTGCTTTTTCTCGAGAGTGCCACAGAGCTCACACCATTACAAGTGTAGTGCAAACTTGGCAGCAAGAACTGATTGCCAAGTCTTAGCTCCAGGCAAGACTGGGGAGAAAAACATCACTGAGGTGCTGAGCTCTATCACTTAGAAAGGTAGGGTGATAGTCCGACTATTACACATACAACTGGTACCTGTAGTGGGTTTGAATTCCACGCCACCAACTGACCTTTGATCAAGACAAACAAGAAAGCTAACTTATGTACTCCCAGGAAATGGAAAGGATCAGCCTTAATATATTATATGAAAATGTTTTGGATATTAAAAAGCACTATAC